AAATATCTAGATTTTTAATCCCAGCTCTCCATATAGTCATTTAGTCCAAATTACTTAATATCTCTAAATTTCTGTATCCTGCTTTATGAACTATAGATAAAGATTTCACAGGGTTGTTGAAGGATTAAAGGTGAATGTGTAGACAAAGCAATTATCACATTGACTGGTACTTAGTAAATTCCCATTGAGTGTTAACTATAGTAGCAATAATGGCGTTACTAGTAGTAGTGATGGTGATTAACACTATCTAGCTGATAAAGGACTATGATGGAATAAAGTATTCATGAAGAGACAAATGAAATTGGCAGCATCATGATTTTTGAAAAAGAGACAAATGGATTTATATAGCTCCAATCCTCTCTCAGTAGATATATACACTGAAGTAAAAATGTAGGTATAAATATGAGTGTGTATATATATATATATATATTCCATACACATGAAAAGTTGAAATATTTCTATTTTACATTTTCTCCAAGAATATTTTATAATATTTCTTAAATAGTCACGTAAGTATTTTCTACCAATCATACATACCAGCATTTCAAGTAAATTTTCCTAACAATATCTACCTGTCTTAGAAAAGCATTCAAAGGTAGTGGTTAGGTCCAGCTGATCACAAAGAATACAGCATAATGAAAATGTCCCTAGAGGATCATAAAAAAACACCAATATTTAAGATGGCTGGATTGACTCCAAAGACCGAGAGACAATCTGCCTCTCACCGGCTCAGCTTCAAAAATATAGTTCTTGGCTCCAGTATGCAGTTCAATGAATGTGATCAGTGCAAGTACAAGGTGAATAAATCTTAAAGATACTGAACTAAGTTATTTCCCAACATAAGAACACAAGGGACAAGACAATCTTGATTAGTCGATGTCTGAGCTAGTATTTCATCTTGGACTAGCTGATGTGAAGGTTAATGTTATTGACTCCCTCTTTGAATCTTCTTTGGAGAAAAGCAATATTCTGCTTTGAATCAGTTATTATTGCAACACCCTCCCCATAGTTAAGATCTGTCAATATTCCTTCATCTGGGAGATTCTTAAGGCCCAGATTTTACTGGTCCTGACATGAAGTAGTCTACACCACAATTCATATGCAATTCACTTCACTTACACAGTTCAACCTTTCTGAACAAGTGCAAATCCTCCCAACAGGGACTATATTTACTTTCCATTCCTCTACAGCTGTCCAGAGGAAACAGGGTGGAGGACAAACCTAAGGGCATTTTAGAAGCTCTTTAAAAAGTTTATTTTTTTAATAGGCAACAAAGGGTTGGAGGAAACACTGAAAGTTCCTAGGTTTGAGGCAAGTACAATATATTAATTTCTTAGGGCTGCCATAACAGAGTATCACAAACTTAAATGATATTTTTTAATCTCAGTTCTGGAGGCTAAAAAGTTCAAAGTCAAGGTGCTGGCAGTGTTGGCTCTGTCTCAACACCGTGAAACAGAATCTGTTTTATGCATCTCTCCTAGTTTCTGATGGCCCTGGGTGTTCCTCAGCTTGTGGCAATAGAACTCCAATCTCTGTCTCCATCTCCATAAGGGTGTGTTCTTCCTGTGTGTTTACATCATCTTTCTTCCGTGTACGTGTGTCTCTATGTCCAAATTTCCTTTTTAGACAAGGTTACCGTCTATTGGAACAGGCCAGTGGTGGCAAGCCTAAGCATGTGTGTTATTTGTTTTTACTTTTAAAACAAAAGATGTTAATGTATGAGGGTTTTTTTCTAAACTAAAACCTCAGTATTCACATTTTATTGCAGTGTTGACACTTTATGATAAATAAGTAGGTTTTGGGTTGCAGTTTGGCTACTCAACTCTAAAAGGCTCTCCATCACTGGATTAGGCCCATCCTAATTACCTCATTTTAATTCAGTTTAAATGTGGGTTTTTTTTTTCAAATAAGATCCTTTTCTGAGACACTGGGGGCTAGACATGAACATATCTTTTTGTTCATGAGGACAAAATTCAACTGATAACATACAGTATGTGGGCCAGGGATTTAGCTCAGTGGTTCCGGTGCCTGCCTGTGTCGCAAGTGCAAGGTCCTGAGTTCAATCTCCGGTACCAAAACAAAATAAAACAAAACAAGACAAAAACATACAACATGCAAAGCTTTTGAGACTAACAGAGCAAGGAAATGGCACAGTCACATTACAGTAATGTAAGCCCAGGAAAAACACTAAGGTAAAAAGATTCCTAGTTTAGGCTTTTAAAACCATCTTTCCATTGTTTAGTTTCCTCCTCTGAAAGCTACCATTAACATCATTTCATTTTCAATCTCTGCAGCTCAAAACACAAACAATAAGCTGGTAACTGCTTTCTCTGATCTATTCTGGCAAGTCTTACTCCCAAGTAGATTTTCTTGTTGGTTTGCTTTGCTTTGCTTTGCTTTGGATACAAAATTTCCCAGAGTTTTGTTTGCTATTTCTTTAGCAAGAGGGTTTGGAATAATTTGCACCCACTCCTCTGTATCAGATTTTGCTGAGTGTAATAGATAAACGTGACAATCATCAATGGACATGAGTTAGTTGTAAATTGACAAAAATGCTTCCAAGCATCAGAAAACTGACCACATCTTTCTCAGAAGAATGTTTTTCTTCTCTTCACTGTGGCCTCCACCTTCTTAGAACCAGTTTCTTTCTGGAGGGATTTAAATAAAGAACCTGTGGGATTTATGATGTTCCTCAGCCATAAATACTACACCTGCCAAGGCCTAGGCTTCTGGACTTTCAGAGTCTCTTAAGTATGTCTAAAAGAGGAACACTAGGAACCTGAAAATATTTCCTTTCTTTACCAGCTCTTCATGTTTTGAGCTCTTTAACTTCCTAAAGCTCTAGGTAGCAATTACTATATTAAAAATGAGAGATAAGAGACTGATGAATAGAGACCATATTTGAAACCAACCTTGGATTTACATAAGATTTTGAGATTGTACTTCATTCACTTAAGGCACAATAACAAGTAGTGACAAAGCAAGAATTGTGTAGACTAATATTTCTTTCTAACTGCATCTTCTTCCTCCATTGAATACTAAGCTTTACATAGTCCAAAGACAGGAGAAAAGACATGGTTCAAGAAACATATAAAGAGCCGAGGATTTAGCTCACTGGTTCCACCGCCTGCCTCGCAAGCACAAGGATGGGAGTTCGATGCCCGGTTTAAAAAAAAAAAAAAAAAACTTGGGCTGGGGATTTAGCTCAGTGGTTTCACCACCTGCTGCGCAAGCCCAAGGACTCGAGTTCAATCCCTGGTACCAAAAAAAAAAAAAAAGAAACATATAAAGAAAAACTAGAGGAAAATGGGAAATCACTAGAACTTATAAGACAGAATTACAGAATTATAACTAATTCTAACAGATTTGAAATGAAATTTCAGGATGAAAGAACCATCTAATAGCATCATGATTTTTCCTAAATATTTGAGATTATAGGAAATCAAACTGTAGAAGAAACATTTGCATCAACAGCAGCCCAGACTCAATACATGGATTTCTGGTTCTCATGGGTACTACTTCATGGATTTTAAAGGTTCTGACAAAGGAAATGAAATATATTCATACCATCTCCCTCAAACAAAACTAATTAATTCCAGAAACAAGTCACTGAGATTAACAATCAGTTGGCTGCTTGTGCCATACAAGTACTTGCTTTAGTTATTTTTCTTTCAAGTGAAATTATAGCTTCCCTACACATACATTCTATGACATCTCATGATACTGATATGTCATAACTGGAAGAGTTGTATTTCATAATCTCAAGACTAGGTCAGCCTTTACTCTTTCTCATCTACCTGAGCCTGCAGCTGGCTGATGTTGACTATTCCTGGCTCTCCTTTTTACTCCCCGTATGGCACCTAAGGCTTAAGACACCAAGGTAACTTGAGAGCACCACCTCTGCCCAGATCAGCTGTGCCCAGCTAGAATTCCTGCCTGGCAGCCTAGAAATGAGGGCGATGGAGGCCCATGTGAATCCTGCTCAGCCCAGCTCTGCCAGCATGAAGCATTCATCATCTCTCCCTGCTCCCGCTAATATGGACTGACTGCTTGCTCTTTAAGCTCCACTGCTCTCTTGCCTCATTTGTAATGACTTTCTGTTATGACTTTCTGGATGTTTCTGCATGTCTGCCCTTATAACAAAGGTAAAAGCCAAATGAACATTGCATCTTTACTGGACTAAATACTTAAATACATTTGTAGCTCCACTTGGCCTCAGTGGACTTTACTGAGTGCAGCTTATGTCACTCTTTGAAACATCTTTATGGTTGGTGAAAAGATCAAGCATTACCTCCAGTGATGGTAAAATCCAAATAGCCAGTTCCAGTAACATCCCTGGATGTGACTCATACGTCTGATCAGTTGATTTGTAATAAATCTCCTCCACATGTATCTTGATAGAAGAAGAGCTCTGGGATTTTTTTTACTTAAAGTTCCCCACCAAGGCTTTCCCCTTTCGTACTTTTCAGTTGTCAAATTATACAATTTCATAATTTTCCACTTTTACTATACATGTGATTAACCTCATAACCCTTTAAAACGTTATGTGTAAACATACTTACTTAGGCCCAGTTTCATACACACATGCGCACATGCACACACACATGTGCACATGCACACATACACGTACACACACACACAAACAACATAATAGATTATCCTCTAAATGTTGTCTCTTCTTGTCTGTTTTCACTAAACGGAAAAAAGTTTCATACAGGTCAGCATAGCTAGTGCCTCCTTACTTTCATTTCTGTAACAGTCTTCTTTAGTATTAATAACAGTAACAACAAGAAAAATAGTAATAATGCCTGCATGCCTTCCCAAGACCACCAAGGTCTTGACCCTAAATACAGGCATGCACTAAAATACACAGCAGATGCTACATTTCTTTTTTTTTTTCTAACTTCTTGGATGTCTTAGCCAACTTTTCTTTACTTACTATTAAGTTCCTAGTAATTCTCAGTTGTTAAAGTCAAGAAGGTGTCCAAAAAAGTACATACATAATTATTATTGTCTTCTCCTTTATCCTTGCTGCTTCATATTTTCAGTCTTCCCAGTCTCATACACACACCGCAAATCTATTGAAATTAAGCAGACATTGAAGAAATACTTTAATGTTATTCTCAAGGAAAAATGAATACTAGAAATTACAGAGGTGTTTTTCCTAACTTTGTGGAGGCACTTAGGTGGCTATCATTTATCTACAAATGAGCTATGTTTTTAAGGAAAATATTAACTTTTCAGCCCCACAATATGGAATGTTTTCTTCTACCAAAAATAGTTTACCCAGAATCTAAGGGAACACATGGGAGCCATCTGTACAAACTGCTTTGTACACTATTTCCTAGTCAAATATAACTTTCAAAATTATAATTTATATATGATTAAATATGTCCTACCTGTATTTTCAAATCACAACTAAAAGAAAATATCTTGTGATTACCAATTCCTTTGAAGACATATGTAATAGGATATGATTTTTTAAGGAATTGTTTTCACCTATGAATTTCATTTACCAAATTATTTCAAAACAATTAGCATTAATCAAAGAAGAAATACTTGATCTCCTCCTGAAAAGGTTTTTCTGGCTAGAGCCCCTGAAGCCTCGCCAAATCAAATAAATACTAAATAAGAACTTGGGAACACTGAAATACAAGTGACTCTCACAGAGGCACCTGTCAGGAAGGTGGTCGAGAATGACTTCCTCAACAGAGCGGTATGAACATCCTGTCTGGTGTTGTGGGAGGAGGGCGAAATTTAGGAAAAATAAACTACTTCTTTCGTTAGTATGCAAATAAAAAGCAGCACTGCAGCTGTGGTCATAATCCTCTAAATTCTGTCTTACAGAGAAATGCGTAAAAGTCATATGTCTTAAAAATGTTATGTTATTTTACCAAATATTCCACCAAATTATTTGTGTGCCCAAATAATTCTGCATCTGATGTGATCTGAACCAGCATCATTAGACATATTTTGGGCCTATTCTTAATTGTCATTAAAACACTAGCTCAGTCTAATTTCTTGCTGTCCTAATGGTGTACAAAGAACCTTAAAAACAGACAACTCTACCATCACCATTGCCATCATTAAATATTTAGATTGAGTTGGAAAATTTGTTTTGGTTCATAATGTCTGATATTAAAGAAGCCAGTTATTTGAAAGTTAGGGAAGGCAATTTAATTGTACTACATACTAAGTCTTACTTGCCATAAATTATCATCTCTAGATGATTGCACTGTTAATTCCAAATTCTTAAATCGCCTTTGTTCTCAGTTTGTCCAAACTTCTTGAAAGAACAAAAAAACTTCGAGTTCCTCCATGTAATCATTCTCTACAAGGAGGATAGAGTGCATTCAGGCTCCACAGCATAGAGCTGGGGTTACTTATCTAGTCACAGGACGAGTCCACACAGAAAACATCTCAGTGCCTGAGTTAACCTAAGAGGCTGCCATAACAGTGTCACAGTGGAGATGCTGAGCAATAGTTACTGCCTCACAGTTCTGCAGGCTAGAAGTCCAAAATCAAGGTGCAGCCTGTTACATTCCTTCTGAATTCTCCAAAGGAAGGATCTGTTCTAGGCCTCTCTTTGGCTTAAAATGGCTGCCTTCATATTCACAAGATGTCCTCCCCAGACATGTGTCTGTGTCCAAATTCCCCTTGTTATACACATCAGTCATGCTGATTAGAGTCCCCCCCCCAATAATTTCATTTTATCTCGATTAATTCTGTAAAGGCCCTACCTTCAAATAAGGTCGCATTCTGAGCTACTTGGGGTTAGAATTTGGCATATTAATGGGGGAGGGAAGAACTCAACTCATAAGACTCCCTCAGTCTTGCATTTCGCTTACATTTCCTGTCACAGGTGGGTTCCTCTGGGTCAGTAGTGGTGAACATATGGCACGTGTGACCCAGCAGGCTGTTTGTTATCACTGAAAGATCTGAAAGGTTCACCATCACTGCTCTGGGAAATGGCAGAGGATGAAAACACAGGCTCCAATGTTGCATTGTCTGGGTACAAACTCCAGATCTGCCCCTGGCTGGCTATGAGACCTCAGCCTCCCTAAACTCCCTTCCTTCAGCTGCACAACAGGGGTGATGAAAGGTCCTACCTACCCAACAGTCAACCATGCTAGTGTTCAGCCCAGTGTCCGGCACAGAGTAACTGCTCCTGGTGTGTTTGTTTTCACTCAGATGAATTATTATTAAAAGAAAATGATGAATTCAAACTGAAAACTAAACCCTCCCTCCCAGTGGTGGGAGAAAACACTTCCTATCTTTCCTCTCCAGCCAGTGTATACTCCCCTCCACATAAGGCTGCCTTTGAAATGAACGTGACTTATGAGAGCAGCAGAGGTTTGGCTCAGGATTACAGGGGTGGGTCTCCATTTTTCTCCACCATTTACTGTAACCGGCTTAAGAGGCTGCCCTGCTTCACACTGGAATCCCCTATACTGGGACATTTAAGCCACGACTTCCTTCTCACAAGATCTGCTTTTCTGTATCTCAGACAGTCAGCTCTACCCTACAGTTCCTATTTTTAAGCAGTTCATATTTTCTCTTTTATTCAGTCAAAATTATATTTCCTTTTTTTTTCCTTTGGCTGTTGAATTTTCCCCCAAACCTTCTTTTACAAATTCATTAATATTCATGAAGGAATTTGTATATTAAATTTACATAAGTATGGGATAAGAGGGAACTCTCGGCTCCCAAGATTCCACTCTTATGCTAGGAGATTCTGAGGCTTGCTATAAATATCTATTTTTATTGCTTTGCTTTCCCTTCTCAAGGGGGCCAGGGATTAAAAACAGAAAGACTTATTCCGGGAAATGGGACTGTGGCCCCAGAAGAAACTCCCTTTCCTCACACATCGCAGCAAAGGGAGAAAGTGGTTTACACACCACTGACACACCTGACCTGCTCAGAGAAGTCCAAAACTTCATTAAAGCATCCAGGGCTCTATTATGGCTTCCTTTTGTGGGTCTCTCCTCCATAAAAATTAATAAATACTATATTTTACAACTGTCTTTGTATAAAGATGAATGTATTAATATCGTATATTGATAAATGGTCTTTGACCTTAAAGTTCACTTTATCCTGATTTTAAATTAAATTAAAACAATTTTATGGGCCCCAAGAAGTATTAGGGGCCTGAGGCCTTATGTTTATGTACCTAATAGATATGGGCCCTGAAGCATCTCAGCTATGGTAGAGTTAAGACCAAGTCGTCATAGACTCCTGTCTAAGATTCCTAGCTGCTGACAACCTTAACCAACTAATTATAAGACATCAAAAATAGATTTGACTTTTATAACCCTGTGCAAGTAATTGCAGCCTGAACCCATCTAAGACAAATATAATTGACAAACCTATCACGGCCCAGAATTTTTGGATATAGTTAGAGCAGGGATCCCATAAATTCTTTGTACATACCCATATGTAAATGCATATGACATCTCTATTTTAAAATAATCACTTTGTTCTCACTGAAACTCATTTATTTAGATGTATAAACATATAAAATAGTATTTCATGCTTTTTAAAGGATGCTTTTCACAAATCAGGGGTTACTAATAAAGAAAATGTTAACTAAAAGCATACTACAGATCACATTGTTTTTGGTTCCTCCACACAGATAGTCCAAGGAAATACATTGTTGTCCCTGTTGTTATATATAAAGAAACTGATGCTAAAGAGGTTAAGCAATGTTTAATATAACAGCACTCAGGAGGCTGAGGCAGGAGTATTGCAAATGCAAGGTCTACATGGTGAGACCTTGTCTCAAAAAGCCAAAAAGAGAAAATTCAGGTAATATGATGGTGAGTGAAAATACTGACACAAAACTGTATATGAAGTTGACCCCAATTATATGGAGAATTTCTTTAAGGACAATATTGTGATGATTTTGTCTTAGGAAAAGACCACTAGACATAAAGAACATGTTTTAGTTTATAATGCTCTGCTTTCAGTATATAAATGAGAGAAAATGATGTGGCTCCAGAAATGTTCTGATTCCTATTATTGGTTCAGGAATCAATAATAATTGAACTTCACTTCTCTGAGTGTGTGTTAAGAGTAAAATGAGCCAATGAAAAGTGAGGCTTAGTTCTGATGTAATAACATAGAACCAGCGGGGAGCAAATGCCCTCTCACAGACCATGTGCCAACATCTAAGAACAAAGCCAAAATTTATACACCTGCCCTGTGGTGGTTACGGGTGCTATCTAGGAGATTAGTAAAGCTCACTTCTGGGTATGTCTGGCTGCATCACAGAAGCATAACCTTGGGGTATACATCTGGCCCTTGGGCCCTTCTTCTCTGGTGCTATTCCCTGCTGCCATGAACCAAGCAGCTTTGCTCCACCAAGCTCTTGTGCCGTGACGTTCTTGCCTTGGAGCCAGCCAGTCATGGACTGAATCCCCAGAAACTGAGCCAAATTAGACTTCTCCTCTTTTAAATTGTGGTGTTGGGTATTGTGTCCCAACAGCAAAAAGATGACTAATGCACACTCTCGTCTCAAAGAATGAAATCAAAGTAGTACAACCATTTAAAAAAAAAAAAATAGGGTGAAATCCTGTCATTTGAGACAACAAGGATAGAACTAGTCATTTTGTTAAGTAAAATAAGCCAGGCACAGAAAGACAAATATTTCATTCATATGTTAATCTAAAAAAGTTGATCTCCTAGGAGAACAGAATAAATGAATACTTAAACCAAGAAAAATTGATAGTAGGTCTTTCTGAGACCCAGTGAGAAGTGTCTTTCTCTGCTGATCTCTTCATTCCTATTCAGTTGCTCACACACACACACACACACACACACACACACACACAACTAGTTTTCTACCTGGTTATCAAACTTGACCATGGCAGATGTCTTTTCCATTCCTTAATTTATTTTAAGATCAAGAGTTCTGAAACATACCAACTCTTTCTTTGTCCCCTCACTTGTTTGACTGCTCCCTGATTCTTCTGGCTATATCCTAGCTACTCCAACATCCAGGTAAGAAAGCCTAATTCTGGCCCAAAGCAGACTCTCCTGTGTTCCCATTCTCAGAGACCAGGCTCACGTTCTGAAGGTG